GGTGTACTTTTAATCAACTCAGTCATTTCTTTTCCATCCTTCTTCTTTCTCTCAAGAATTTTTAAAATCAGATATTGTACAACCTTGGAAAAAATTTTGATTACACATAATTAAATATAGTTTTCTTTCTCAGTAGACAAAACGTTGAAGGTTACTTAAAGTCGGAACAACAGTCATTTTTTTTTTTTTTTTTTGTTTTTGTTACTGCTCAACAAATAAGACAAACTTCACTTACAATAACAGAATTTTAAAATATTTTTTTAGGTTTTTTTTTTGTTGCCAAATTAAGTGATGAAATAAAAAAGTGAGAAAAATAGAAACGAAGAAATAGAAACATAAAACATATAATTTTTTTTTTGTTTTTTTAGTGAAATTTTAATTAAAGTGCAATAAGCAGAAGTGACAATATAATCAGAAAAAAAAAAGCAAAATTTCAACAAAAATTTGTTTTGAAAGTTTCTAATTACAAAAAAAACTGAAAAAAAAACAGTTTTTTGCTGGAAAGGTTCTGTGATAAAGAATCATGTTGAAGTTTTAACAAAAACAAAAAAAAGTTTTATAAAATTATACCATCTGTAACTGTTGTTAGAAAACTACTTATGTCAGTGTCTGCATATCAGTGTGCCTGTATACCACCAGTATCTGTTTATCAATGTATAAGAAAAAAATTTAGGAAAAAACCAAAAATAATGTCTGTTCTACTTGAAAATAACAACAACTTCTAAACTTTAGTTTGTTCTTTTCTTTTTTCAATATTTACAGATGTGGTTTACATCGTATAATTTGTTTAGCCCCCATACTGAGTGTAACTATGGTGTATATTTTGTTGGCAACAATTAACCAACTAAACTGTCTAAAGATGTAAACTTGCAGGCTAACCAGCTAGCAAGTTGAAAGAAAAAAAAAAAAAAAACATGAGAAGCACAGATAAACATCTGGTAACCAAAATTGTTGTTGTTGTTGTTGTTGTTGTCGACTTTTTAGGTAATGCTAATGACAATAATGACAATAATATAAGTTACAGAAATGATACAAATGACAAAAGTGATAATGTTAATGATAATAATAATAAGGAGAAGAAGAAGAAGAATAATAATACTATTTGCAATTTGGTGTAAATTCCTATTTTTTTTTTT